CGTTATGGCAACTTGGATACTCTAGCCTTCAAGCTGACTGAGAACTGGCACAAGCTCAAATACAATGGGAAAGGAACAAATCGGATGAGCAGCTAAGTATGCAGTCGGAAAAGCATCATGAGGAATTTGAGAAAGTACTATAGCTCTAACATGACTATTGGCATCAGAGAGCCAAGCTTTGCTGGTCATAATTTGGAGATAAAAATACAAAATTCTTCCATAAATGGGCTGCTAGGAAAAATGAAAATGAATGGATCACTGAACTATGTGATGCTTAAGGTTTGTAGGTTCAAGAACATGATCAACTTAGCTCGCTGCTTCTGAGTCACTTCTCAAATATTTACATATCAGTTGAGTCAAGTTCTCAGAATTCACAGTCTTCCTCATTTCTCACCAGTGTTCTTGCAAATGTGAATGAATCTTTGACCACAAAAGAAGCTGCCCATTTAGATGCTCCATTTACAGAGTCAGAAGTCTAGTCTGCTCTCAAGCAAATGTCTCCTTGGAAGTCTCCTAGTCCTGATGGAATGCCGACATGATTTTATCAACATTATAAGGACATCATTGGCTCGGAAGTCCAATCTTCAATTCTGAAAGCTTTCAATACTATGTTTTTTCCTCCAGAATAAAACTAGACTCATTTAGTCCTCATCTCTAAAACGTCTACTCCGATAACTCTGAATGGCTTTTGTCCAAGCAGTTTGTGTAACGTCAAGTATAAGATCACAGCAAAGGTGATCGCAAATTGTCTTAAGCAAGTTATGAATGATCTAACGATAATCAAAATGGATTTAATCCAGACAGAAATGTCAGACAGAAGATGCTTATCGCTCATGAGGTCATTGAATGTATAAGGAAGCAAAAAGGTGAAATAGGCTTGGCAGCCATCAAACTTGATATGATTAAGGTTTATGATAGAGTTTCATGGCCTTTCTTACAGGCGGTTCATCAAAAGGCAAACTTTCCACCAAAACTAACTTCCTTAATCATGTATTATATTTCTGCAATCTCCTATTCTCTTCAGTTTAATGGAGAATCTTTACCACCCTTTCTCTCCAAATAAGGGATTGAGACAAGGATATCCGTTGTCTCCATACCTGTTCATCCTCTGTCAACAAGTCCTTTCTTCTGCGATTACATCGGAGATTCACAACTTTCCAGGTTTGGGAGTGAAATCCATTTGTCATGCACCCAGGGTGAGTCATCTTATGTATGCAATGATAGTCTCTTTTACATTGAATGCAAGGATTCTTTTGTTTTATCCTTGGTAGGATTATTGAAAAACTACACCAACTTCTCAGGGCAGCGCATTAATTTGCACAAATCTTTAATCCTCACCAGTGCTAATACCAGTCCAGAATGAAGACCTTCATCCATTCTACTCTCAATATTTCCATGAGACAGTTTCATAGAAAATTTTCGGGAATGAGTCTAGATTTCAAGGAAAAGAAGACTACTATCTTTAAAGAGTTCACCACAAAAATCAGCAGCAATTTGCTTCATGGAAAACCAAGTTGTTATCGTTACCAGGTCGAGTTACTTTGGCCAAATCGACCTTGTCCTCAAAGCTTGTGTATCCTATGGGAGTCTTCAAACTTCCTGCTCACACCTTACATAAGACTGACCAAATCATTGGCAATTTCATTTGGAATGGAGATAGCCAGGAGAAGAAAATTCACTGGAGTGTATGGAAGAAAATTACAAAATCTCCTTTTCTTGGAGGTTTAGGGCTTAAAGCCACAAAGGAATTCAACCATGCACAACTAAACATGCATGGAAGATAATCTCTAAGTCTCACTCTCTCCTGGCTAGGCTTTTCTCGGCCGGAATGTTCGCTCCAGTACAACCTCTCAGGAACTCATCATGGGGATTTAAAAGTATCATATGGGGAGCTGAACTTCTGCAAAATTATACTAAATGGAAGGTCATATCAGGGAGGGACATCCCTCTATCTGCTAATTGGATTCCTGATACTCATAATCCGATTGGGGCTCACTCCATTTTAGCTATGTCAAATTTGACCGTGGATCGATTTTTTATTCCAAATGGTCAATGCAAGATTCATGCTCTTTGACATTTCTTTCTAGATGATATTATCTCCTGTATTACTGGGATTTTTTTAGATCCGGCAAGACAGAATAAAAAAGATAAGCTCCAATGGACACTTGCAGAACATGATAACTATGTAGTCAAATAAGGTATCAACTGGCCATCAACGCTCTCCTTCCACAACCTGTGTCAAATCCAGCAATTCAAAATGCATAAATTAGCTTGGAAACAACTTTGGAACTCTGGAGTTCAACCCAAGCTCAAATTCCTTTTCTGAAGAGCATTATTCAATGTTCTTTCTACACGATCAGAACTATGCAAAAGGGGAGTTCAAGTCGGCTCATTATACCCCAGAAGTAGCAGACATGAGGAAGATAGCTTACACTTATTCTTTAAGTATGAAGCCTCTCAGGCCATTTGGGCCTTGGCTTTCTTTTTGTTTGGCTCCATATTCAGTTCAGTTATACATATGACTCTTTGCACCAATTGTTCACCCGTTGGACTAAGTCTCATCCCACAAAAGAGTAGGTTGATTTGTTCTTGATCATCATTTGGAGGATCTGGTTGGAGAGAAATGATAATATTTGGAGAAACCAATCTAATGATCCGGCGGTATCTTGGAGACTTATCCAAAATTAAGTCACTCTTCATATACAAAACCTTGGTAGACTGGGAGCTCGAAGAAGTCTAACCAATGCACAACTGTCACATCCGCCTCGCGGTCCAGGAGATTGCATAGTTATTTTTTATGGATCGTTTTGTCGTCAATCACAAAATGTGATTAGTTCTTAGAAGATAATCTCACATCACGGTTTGGTGATGCAAATCAAAGCACTGGATTTAAGTGTATTTTCTCCTTTTCAAGCGGAGGCGATGAATTGTCTTTTGGCTTTGAGGGAGGCATTGCATTAAGGGATCACTTCACTCTAGGTTTTCACAGACTGTGAAACTTTGACTGGAGAATTACGGTCTTCTCTAATACCTTCCGAGACTCAGGAGGTGACTTCTTTGTTAGTCACTACTATATCTTCATTTCAATCTTACTCCCTGATTAAAGTGACTAGACAAGATGTTGCAGAACTACATAATTTAGCATTCGATAGAATGTATTCTAATAATTTAGGTACTTCTTATTAACTAATATACATGTACTTTTCCAAAAAAAAAAAATAACATTTTTTTGGATCAATTCCAGAAAAATTCAATGTGATCTCAAAAAAAAAATAGTAAAAAAATTAAAAAAAAAAAAGAGAGATCACATGTATGAAAAACTAGGAACTCTTCGTATGAAAGAGTTTGAACAGAATAAAATACTTTCTTTATCAAATGTTGAAAGAGAAAGATTTGCAGTGTAACTATGAGAATTGTATATTAACTTCATGATTATGGAGGTCGCGAAGTATGATTATTACAATTTTTATTTGTTCCTAATTATGAATTTTACATACGTGATGAGCTAGGAAATAAAATCAGCTAGAAAATCTCATTTAAGAATGTAAACAACTTGAAAACCGAATACTTGGTCAGCAAACAGTAATCCAGATTTGATTTGGATGAAATTAACTTTTTAAAACTGCAGTAAATCTTTTAAATTTCAACAAACACACCGGGTGATGATTAAGGTGACATCATCCTAAATTTTCTGATATCAGGCAGGAAGAGATCGAGTCTGTAAAGGAAATGCAGCTTATTTGGAGAGGTAAGGACAGTTTCCAAAGCTTCTCCCGGAGCGAAATTTGCATGCTCAGAGTTGTTGGTTAAATATCAACTTTAAAATTGAAATCCATACTAGTACTACTCGTAAACCTTACAAAATAATCACCTTAGAAGTTCTGGGCGCACCTAAACCAAGTCCATGGAATTTCATAATGATTATAATAGATCATTTTAATCTTCAGCGATTAATTACTACTAAACAGGAATTCTGATAAACAGAACATTTTGACAGATATTTAACTAAAAAGGAAAAAGCGTGACAGGGCCGACTAGCCTTTCACTATGATTCAATCATTTTCTCAAACGATAAATTGGAATGACCCTTAAATGCTGAGCTCTTGATGTTACCAAGCCAAATGCCTCAGACATATCCAATTCCTTTGGTTGAATATTATCAGCAAGTTTCCAATCGAAGCAATGAACCAATTGTGCCAACAAAAACCGAAAAGTTATGAATCCCAACTGCAAACCAGCACAGATTCTTCTGCCAGAACCAAATGGTATCAGCCTGAAATCCTGTCCCCGAAAATCGACATTGTTTTCTTTAAATCTCTCAGGAATGAATCTCTCAGGATCAGGCCAGACATTTGGATCTCGCCCGATTGCCCATACGTTGACGATAATCCTGGACTTTTTCGGGATATGAAAACCATCAACAGTGCAATCTTCCATGGACTCGTGGGGGAGCAAAAGTGGTGCCACAGGATGAACCCTCATGGATTCTTTTAAAACCATGTTTAAGTACTCTAAATTTTCCAGGTCTGATTCCTCCACCATTCTGTGGAATCCGATTTTTTCACCTAATTCTTTCTGAAGTTTTCTCATACAGTCTGGATGTCTGAGGAGATCAGAAAGAGCCCATTCAACTGCTGTCGTTGATGTCTCCATTGAGGCAACAAGCATATCCTGTAGCACAGGTAAATGGAAAAGCTAAAAGCGAAAAACAGAGTATATGAATCTTCAACATCTAGCTCCATAGAGTGTTAATTAACAACATAGATGTGAAATGATAAATTAATCAGGACGTGATCTGTAACGAACGTCGCGATCTTGATTATGTGTAATATTATTGAGGCATTTAGTCCACCTTATTAGATTCATGTCGCCTACCAAATCGCCATTCCTAACTGAGATGATGAAAGAGCAGAGGAATCTGGTGCTAGCTCTTAAATGAGACATAAAATAAGAACCATAATTATGGACAAAAAATGAAAGTGGACTTGATAAAAATTTACCAGTAGTATTGCTTTGATATTGCGACGGTCGAACTCAAATTCAGACTCACCAGAATGCATAATTTCAAGCATGATATCCACAAAATCCTTGGTTTGCTTCTGCTCTTGAGATTGCTCATGCTCATCAATAACTCTCTCAAAGAAACTATCGAAAACCTTACTCAGCGCCTTGAATCGCCTCGTGATCCCTTGAAGATCAAGCACACCAAGCCCAGGAAAGAAGTCACCAAGGTTTGGAAGTGCTCCAACATGCATTACTTCTGTAACAACATCTTTAAATCCCCTGTCATCAATATCCTTGTCCATGTACTTCTTCCCAAAGATCATCAAGCAACCAATGTTCGCGCCTAACGACGAAATTGCAGCACTAAGATCGACAACAGAAGAATCAGAAGCTGCCGTCTTGAGTGATTCAACCAATGCTCCAACTTCTTTTCTTCTCATGGGCTGGAATGAATTGATCTTCTGGTTGCTGAGCAACTGTAAGATGCAGAGTTTTCGCATATTTCGCCAATAAGGCCCATACGGACCAAAAATCAAGTTCCTCTGCTCATAACTAACATACCAAGAACCTTCATGATAAGGCCTACTTGCAAAAACTTGATCATAAGTCTTAAGGAACTTCTCTGCTGCTTCCGGTGATGAGACTACGATTGCCGGAACATAACCGAATCGCAGATGCATAATAGGACCATGTTTTCTGGCTAATTTGCACAAATCCTGATGAGGGTTCTTCCCTAACATGTGTAAATTCCCCAAGATTGGAAGCCCTTTTGGTCCTGGAGGCAATCTTTTCCTCTTCTTCATGAAAAACAATTCTTGCAGTAGGAAGCAAACTGCAGCCAGCACCAAAGCTGTCCATATCCACTGGATACCAAACATGATCTCTTTCAAATTTTTCTTGCAAGAAGTGTGAAATTAAGGATGAATGTTGAAAACATGTTTTCTTTTTGTAGCCTCTCTGTCACTTTCTTTCAGTTCACTGTCCTATTCAAGTTCATCACGTACTGATGATTATAATAAAGTCATAAGCTTTTTATCATGTATTTGTTTGATTCTTGGCTGGGAATGGGACCAAGTTGTCTCTTGTAAGCTGCAAGGTTTGATTGCTTATCCTTAGAACACAAGGTCACCAATTTTTTGCCACTTTCTCTGATACTCCCTCTGGTCTTTTTTTTTTTTTTTTTTTTCTCTGATCCTTTTTATAAGACATTTTGATTTCGTCCTAAGTGAAATCTAAAATGTCTTTTTAATTGATATATAAACTTTAAAAATATTTCATAGTAATTAAGAGAACATAATGAATATAAAGATATATTTAAGATTTTTTTTCCTATTAAAAATATTTTAGATGAAATTTAGGACGAAATCAAAATGCCTTATCATAAGGACCACAGGGAGTATGATGTGTGTTTTTCAAAAACTATTTTAAAGTAATTCTTTCTAACATATAAAATAGGTAATTGTCTCACTAAGCTGGAAATGGTTATACGTGTATATCATTATTTATAGTTATTATACTCATCCATTGTCCATGAGTGCTTTTTGCAGTCGATTATCTTTGCGTTCTTGGCGACAAAATATCTCTATGACTAACAGTATATTTTTATCCTAAGAAATGTCAGGGCATGGTTACTTCATAACAGGGTTTATTCATCAAATATTTTCTAAACTACATCCGTAATAACTTCCAAAAAAGTTAGCCGAAAATAGCTGACGAGGAAATTAGCAACAAAATAGCACTCTCTGTCTCGTAATTATTATTCAATTTGATTTTTATTTTTAATACAATTTATATTAAAAATAAAATTTCAAATTAGACAATCATTTCAGAATAGAAAGTACAGAACACATTGGATTTTAACTACTCTAGTGAAAGAACTGATTTGATGATTTTAAATATTGATTATACTCATAACTTTTTTCGGGAGTGCCACGGAGAGATATAATTGGATTTGACAACTCATCTATGTCATCCCTTGAGATTTTCTCTAATGAGTTTCCATCCCTTCCCTGGTTACAATAGGATCCAAACCAATTATGAGTTTATTCTTGAATTAAAAGGTATCGAATCTTACTCCTCCGTGTGTCATTTTTTTGTATGGTTTTTTCCCCTTTTTGAAAGGGCTACTTGTGAGGCACAGTTGTTTATAGGTTTTTTGAGGGCTTATGGGCAGAACTCCAATCTTATATGTGGCTCCAAGAAAGGAAAAAGAAGAACAGAACTCCAATCTTATATGTGGCTCACATATCATAATCGGTTAAGTGTCAACTTCAGTATGGAAATCCATACTAGTTCCTGTAGTAAAAGGTAAAATAATGACCTCAGATGTTCTTCAAAACTTTATCATGAATAAAGTAGATGATTGTAATTGTTGATCTTGAATGACAAAGCACTTATAAACGTGAGTTATAAATTATAATAGAAACTAAGATGGTTGTGGTAGAGTGGAAGAGACTCCTCCACCCTTAACCGTAAGTCGAAGATTTAAACCTCGCCATGGACATGTAGTAACCTTAAATATTTTGGCCAACTGTCTCATCCATTGAGGTGCCTACAATTCAGCAAGGGGATAAGTCATTGTTGCCGACATTGGACACTCTGCAAATATGAAAAAAGAAAAAAAAGTAAATAAATTATAATAGAAGTAATATATTAACAAAACTAAAACAATTCTCTATGTTTTGATAAACAGGTCCAGGGCTAATTACTTACAATCATTTTTGTAAACGATAGGTTGGAATGACCCTGAAATGCAGAGCTCTAGAGGTTACTATACCAAATGCCTCAGACATATCCAATTCGGTAGGAGGAATATCATCAGCAAGTTTCCAATCGAAGCAGTGAACCAATTGTGCCAACACAAACCGGAAAACTGACAATCCCAACGGCAAACCTGGACAACTTCTTCTGCCAGAACCCAATGGTATGAGCCTGAAATCCTGCCCGCGAAAATTGGCATCGTTATCTTTGAATCTCTCAGGAATAAAACTCTCAGGATCATGCCATACATGCTGATCACGCCCAATAGCCCATACGTTGATGATAATCTGGGATTTTTTCGGGATTCGAAAGCCATCAACAGTGCGTTCTTCCATTGATTCTTCCATTTAAGTACTGTAAGCTTTCCAGGTCTGATTCTTCCACCATTCTGTCCATTCCGATTTTTTTGCCTAACTCTTCCTGGAGTTTCTTCATTGATTCGGGATGCCTGAGAAGATCTGAAATGGCCCATTCAATTGCTGTCACTGATGTGTCCATTGAAGCAACAAGCATATCCTGTAGAACAGAACAGAGTTATTGGGAGAACACAAAATCATGTATTCAACATCTAGTAAAAGCTAATGTTAGTGTACTACGGAGAATTCAGGCTGGCAATTTCGTACTCCTCTGTCCCAAAATTTAGGTCATGTTATTTCGAGATGAAGTAACATTTTTTAGGCTGTGGTGATAGAGTTGTTCCCTAAGACAAATCTAGGACACTTAGATATTACGGTTTCCATGTGTTATTTTCAATGCCGGCAAATCAAGCAGGTTGTGTTGATTGATATAACATTCTTGATCACTTGTCAAATTTAATTCATCTAATTCCTAATTAAAACAAGCTCTATTCCAGGAGAAAAAGGGAAAATAAAAATCAGATAAAACTTTACCAATACTACAGCTTTGATGTGACGGCGATCAAACTCAAACTCAGATTCTCCAGATTGCATGATTTCAAGCATGATATCCACAAAATCTTGGTTTGCTTCTGCTCCTGGGATTGCCCGTGCTCATCAATAATTCTCTCAAGGAAACTATCAAAAAATCTTACGAAGCGACTTCAATCGCTTAGTGATTCCCTGAAGATCAAGCACACCAAGCAAAGAAAAAATTCACCAAGATTTGGTATTGCTCCAATGTGCATTGCTTCTCCAATGACATCTTTAAATCCCCTGTCATCGATATCCTTGTCCGTGTATTCTTTTCCACAGATCATCAAGCAACTCATGTTTGCGCCTAAGGATGAAATTGCAGCACTAAGATCAACAGCAGAAGAATCAGCAGCTGCTCTTTTGAGTGATTCGACCAAAGCTCCAACTTCTCTTCTTCTCATGGGCTGGAATGAATTTATCTTGCGAGTACTAAGCAAATTTAAGATGCAGAACTTTCGGATATTTCTCCAATAAGAACCATATGGACGAAAACTCAAGTTCCTCTGCTCATAACTAAGATACCAAGAGCTTTCATGATAAGGCCTGCTTGCAAAAACCTGATCATAAGTCTTGAGGAACTACTCAGCTGTTTCAGGTGATGAGACAATGATTGCCGGGACATACCCGAGGCGCAGATGCATAATAGGACCATGTTTTCTGGCTAATTTGCACAAATCCTGATGAGGGTTCTTCCCTAATATGAGTATATTCCCCAAAATTGGAAGCCCTCTTGGACCTGGAGGCAATCTGTTCCTCTTCTTCATGATGAACAATTCTTGAAAAAGGAAACAAATTGCAGCCAGCAACAGAGCTGTCCATATCCACTGAATTCCAACCATATTTCTTTTCTTTGGTTGTTTGGGGGTGGAAATTATGGCGTCAACCTATAGGATTTATCATTTTTCTATGTTCTTCCCTAGCCGAGGCTGAGAGATTACCATTTGATTTACCAGAAGCAAAAGCAGAATTAGTAGCAGGATATCAAACGGAATATTCGTGTATCAAATTTGGTTAATTTTACATTGCGTGTGGATTGGTGGATATATTATTGAAGACATGTTTGCTATTTGTCGTTGTTGCTTTCACCTCCATAGTTTTCAACTGTAGGCCTACTTTCTCTTTGCTGGTCTTATTCCAATACATCCTGTATTCTTGTCAAAATAACCAGAGAGAATCAGGTATCTATCTCATTCAATTGATAATGAGATCGACTTGTAAGAATTGGCTACGTAAGTAGGGTCAAGAAAAGAATTCTTTTTTAGTTACAGTATTTTTTTAAACAATGATTGGAAAGATTATAATCATATTGGGACTATTAGTATTTCAATTTTACTTGAAGAACTCTTCGTTGAAGAAGACAGAGAAAGATCTGAAAGCAAAGAACTCCAGAAGTAAATTCATTTGATCAACTAGATAAACTATTCATAGTGATAGGTTTCCTTTAACTGTTCACAGAATTATGAATAGACTTAGTATGATTAGCGAGAGCTTGATTGTACGGAGTTGATACTAGGAAGAAATGCAGAAAATCCTTCTGTTACAACAACCGAGTTCCACAAACATCATAGACCTGCTCTAGAAATGAAAGCATGAACCAAATGGTCAAACGCAGCACAAGAAGCAATTCACCTTTCTTTCTCATGAACAAGTTTACAATAGTCCAGCCGTTGCTTAATCAGAGACATCCAACAAGAGCTACCAAAAAAAAAAAAGAAAAGAAAAATGATTGACCACGGTTGTTTCCGAAAGTATTCCAGATCATTTACATCTGAATCCAACTTCTTACAGATTCTATTACAGTGAACACTACAGTATTTCATCATTGTAGAACATCAGAAGATATAACATCTGAAAATTCTACAATGAAGATATTCTGGATGTCACATTTGGTGTCAAAAGAGCACATGAAGATTGTATGCAATGCCAATTGCTAAATGATGCTTGCTTGGACAAAAGTATGGCTGGAAATTTCTCCAATCTGTTCAAGTTGCTCGAAGCGCAGGGTTAACTGCTGGAGCAAATAGCTTTCTCATATTCGAACCCTTTTCACGTCACCTTCAGGGACATCCACATCAGTTCCGTTGCCGCGGACCAAACTGCTCACTTGTGCTTGAGTCTACAAGAGCAGTAACACGGATTTTTACACAAATGCACAGGGCCAAGCCGGATTTCAAATGCACCAAAATAAAGGGGCATAGTATGAATTATGCCGTAATCAGGCCTAGTCCAAGTTGCAACTCGGGGAAACAAAAAACTAGTATGGATTACACTGTAATCAAACCTAGTAAGTGATCAGAGGAAGTTACAGATGAGAGATAATTACGAAGTTAAGCATTCAACATTGCATAGTATGGGAAGAAGAAGATTGATGACAGAGATTACTACTACGTACATTATCATCAGGGACAACAGCATATCTCTCGGTTGGCGAGACCCAAGATTTCTCTGCTAAAAAAGGGAAAACGGAGAAGCAAATAATGTGAGGCCCAATACATATTTATAATCTCGGTAACTACAAAAGTACAGTAGAACGTAAAGAATTCAGACAAAACCTGAGGATGGATCAAACTTTGAACTCTCTATCAGTTGTCCACTTGCCCCGTCAACACTCAATGCCTCTATGATCTTTGGAATATTTCTTCAATTGGAAAAGAGAATCATAAACAAACATGCTAACACAGTCCAATACAACAGATAACAAAGATCCGAAACCCGATATGTTGAAAATCAATAACAAATGAGTAAATCATTATAGTTGCCAATAAGAGACACTGAGATCATGCCCTAAACTACGGTAAACAAGTAGTCAAATGACATGTTAAAAGAAAATTGAACACAGAAGTGCCAGTGTATAAGGCCAACATTACCAAAATGTAATACAATCGAAGTCATTGGACTAAAACCAAAAAGAAAAAAGAAAAAAATCTTTAAAAGTGTAAATTTACTGTATTCACATTTACATAAGAAAGCACCTCGTTTTCTCCAATCCAAAGTTAACTTAAATATGCCATAGACTTTTGGTCTATAAATTCAATTGATGTTTTCTTCTCAAACATAGACAGATTAACAAAAGAACCACAGAAATGAAAAATTCTGAGCAAGTTTGATTCATTTTTGGAAAACTGATATCTTTCAGTTTAGTCATGCCTTAAACAATACTGTTTCTTTAAGTTTGGTCATCCCTTAGGAATTATGAGCACAGACTCCAGTAATTTGATGTCAATATTCAAACACATATCCTTACCGGTCTGCAGACTCCCCGTGTCCAAGCTGTCCATTAGTGCCTCTCCCCCAAGAAAACACATTCTGCCTCTCTGTGACAGCAAGTGTGTGTCTCCAGCCACATGATATTTGAACAACTTTCTGCCAGTTAAGGATGCATGAAGGCTCATTTCTCTTTAAGGATATCATGGAAGCTTTCGTTTAGAGATAAAGATAAAGAAATGTACCTGATCAAATGGAAATTTAACTTGTACAGGGGAGCAGTGATCAATATTGTCACCAACACCGACTTGTCCAAACTACAAAGAAGTTAAGAAAGAGACAAGGAGTTCAGCTCAACAGAACTTTATCCAGAACAATGAAGGAAAAGATAAACGGCAAAGCAAGCATCTCATACTTGAATTTGACAAATCAGCTCAAGCACCACCAGCATTTCAATAATACAGAGTTCAAATAAGGCAAGTAACAAGTTTAAGACGAATGCAAAGCTACAATTAAAGATAAAAAGAAACAAGTAACACTCAATTGAAGAGCTTTCAACAGGAAACTTGATTTCACAAACTACCGGGACAAGACCAAAGTCATCAAAAGCAAATAATACATATATTTGATGTTAAAAAAAACTGAAATGAGAAGGAAGTAAATTAAAGGGTAAATGTTGAGAAGTGTGTGTCCATTCATATGTCATAGGAATGGAGAGAAAAAAAAAAAGAAGGGATGAAGAGCCAATATGAGCATTTGTTTGTGTGTGTGTGTGAGAGAGAGAGAGAGAGAGAAAGAGAGTGATGAATTGACTTGCGGTGAAAAGATTTCCAACTCTCAGAGATCAAGTTAACAAGAATTCTTTTCACTTGACCCATTCACAAAGGTGAAGACTTTCAAGACCACGAATAAAGGTTGATGAGAAAAATAGTAACGAACACCGATCTCCCTGAAACTTGCAAAGAGGTAAAGATACCGTACATTCTTTTCTTTCCAAATGTTTACTAACTTAAGTTACACCTGAGTTTAGTTACTTATATGCTGAAGCAGAAAAAGAAAGGCGACAGCGACAGATTACCTTGTTCCATCCCCAACCATAAAGTTTTCCTTCTGATGTTAAGGCCATGGTATGCCTCCAACCACCTGCTATCTGAAGTAGAAATTGTGAGGAAAGTGAATGCATATGCAGACACACAAAAAAACTGTCTAGCAGCACTAAATATTCATTAAAATGGAAGTTATCAAGGACACTTAAAATTCAAATATGGTTCATTAGTTTTCCTCAGACTTGTTTGGAAAACCAGGCAAGAAAGAAAGCCTATACAAATAGGACAGACTGATTATAGTGTCGTACGGACAGATGGATTCTTCTATTAGCAATTGGGCTTTAACTTTTTTCAATTTTCAACCCTAAATTTTAAATTTTCAATAATTAGCAACTAGTCACCCTTAATGGGTAGAACTAAAACTGAAAGTAAGTGTATTAAGCTAATATACTGAATTCCGACCACATCAGCACCGAAGTCTTAATATATTTTCCAGTGGATCAGATACAATAGAATAACACAGTGAAGCCAATAGAAAGAATGTGGACTAAAGCAGAGAATTAATTACCTGAGAAATAGGACAGTTGCTCAAGGCTTTCAACTTATGAGGGGTGAGATGATCTTCGAAATCTCCATGTCCTAACTGACCATACTTGCTCCACCCGTAAGTATATAATTCACCAGAAGAAGAGACAGATATCGTATGCCTCCATCCACAAGCAACCAGAATCATTTTTTCTCCCTAAAAGATTAGGCTACTGCAATCAATCATTGAAATGAACGATAGTATGCCCAATGCAACAGAGATGAACGATAGTATGACCAACGAACGATAAAATCATTCAAATGAACAAGAACGCTCAAGGGAAAAAGTTATGTGCACCAATTCTATTAGGTAGACAGAGATGAACAATGATAGTATGCCGAAAATAGTTTACATAGCATAGATCAAGCTGAAAGCAATAAAGTATAAGCTACTTTGAACTACTTGTTAATTGAAATCTACAGTTTATAAAGCTCACAACTTCGAAGGAAAATTACTGATTAAACATCAGTTCAGAAAGTAAGCAAACACTTCGAAATCAAACTACATTGCAAATGCAACAGATGTTCCACAATGGCAATGAGAAAGTTATAATAGAAGAATTAATTTTTGTAAAATCTTAGATATGGATAGCTAAATGGCATGCTCAAAAATATGTGGTTGATACAGTAAGGTAAAGTCTCAGAGTAAAGACCTCAATAGCTGAAACTTTTTCAGGAACTAAGCGGTCATTTCTGTCACCTAAGCCCAGGTTGCCGTAACGGCCCCAGCCCCAACCGTAAAGTTCACCATCTTCCGTCACAGCAGCAGTGTGTTCAGCACCAGCAGCCACCATCTTTACAGATATTCCCTACAAGTACAAGCAAAAGCCAGGACCGATTACATTCTTTTAATTTTAGGAACATTTACCAAAAAAATAAAAAATAAATAAATAAATAAAATAAAATAAATTTGGTAACATTCCCTCAGAGGTTAACTCTCTAAATCCTGCAGACCTAAAATCCTACAACTTTCCGAATCTCAAGTCCAATACAAATACAGACAGCTACATTAATAATCATCACTATCAGAAAATGTAGAAGACAACTCATGGAAACTTGAAGCAGTGCAGTAACTAGAGAATGCACTGACCCTTCATAGAACAAACAGACATTCAAGTTCTAGGAATTGCTTTTTAAGACAGACGCAATGGAAAGAGTAAAAAGTTCGACCACGTCAGGACTGCATATTGATCAGAAACCAGTGGCACTACAGTTAATAGAAATTATATGACTTCAGAAGGTGGCTTAGCTAGTCTAACATATGAGGCATTACATACCACTCGTTTTTCTCTACTCTTATTTAGGTAATTTAGTAAAATATATCTAACATGCTGAAAAACTTAATACATATCTGTCTTTTCATGGAACCATGGTGAACGTCGAACAGGAAGACAGTAAACTGCAGGACTGAAAGACTTTCTTTCTCTTTTGAAAAGTAACAAATACATACATAGCAGGTAGCTAGATTTAGTTTTTACACAACATGTCTGATAAAATAGCAGAAACTACCTGAAATGCTGCAATTTTTTGGGGCACGAGAGATTTCTCTTTTGACAAGTAACATATACATACATAGCAGGTAGCTAGATTTAGTTTTTAAACAACATGTCTGATAAAATAGCAGAAACTACCTGAAATGCTGCAATTTTTTGGGGCACGAGAGAATCCTCCATAGTGCCAAGGCCTAATTGACCATTTTGATTCCTCCCCCAGCTTCATTCAAAAAAAAAAAAAAAAAGAAGATAAAAAAAAAGTTCCAAAATGTTATGAGAATGGGAAGAAATAATATCCATGGTAGAACGACAACTTCATAACTTGAAAAGACATCATACATGACATTAAAGAAAAAATCTGTTCAAAACACCACGACAAAAGTTCGTAAGTTTCAGCTGGGATTCAAGTCAGCAAAATGGACAATGATTTCAGCTGCATGAAAAGGCAATGAAATCACATAGAGATATAAAATTACAATAACGCCACATTTAACATATTTCCCCTTTGCCGTAAAAGAAGCAAAATGGTTTAGCATCTAAATTAGTGGTCAGAAGAATGAAACAAGAATGCAACCCACCTCTGAACCTCTCCGTCCATAGTAACTGCCAGACAATGGCTATCTCCACATGCAATTTGCCTGATTTTTAGACCATGAAATGCTTTTATAGGCTGGGGAGTAAACAAGTCACTAGAATTTCCATGACCCAACCGTCCAAAATCACCCCTACAGAATGACAACACAAAGATAAGTGGATAAGTGCCTTTAGCAATTACAAGACAGTCCTGACACCAAAATAATTACTCGGAAGCAATTTACTCCAAATTAATGCAGAACCAATGCAATGATGATACATGCAGAAGGGAACAACAGATCAATAAGTGAAAGTTTTGAACAAATTAAGAAAAAAAAACTCCAACTAGTGGAATATAGAGAAGAACTAGTAACAATGATTCAAAATAAACCTACCATCCCCAGCTGTATACTTGATTCAAGGATTTCGAGTACGCAGTTGTGTGATCAGCTCCACATGTGACCGACGTTATTTCATGTCCATTCAATGCACTCAACTGAGTTGGCAAATATCGATCTTCAGCATCTCCATGGCCAAGTTGGCCATCCTCTCCCCTTCCCCATGAACAGATGACATCCCCAGCTGTGGTATAAGAAGGAACAAAACATTCCCGAATTTAATTATGACACCCATCAACTAATAACCATCATGCAAACCAACCAAACATTTTAAAACGACATGCATTTATGATTTCTTAGAAGCAATACCATCTGAAAGTTCAAACTGAGCCCTGTAAAATCTATGATCTTTTATCCCAGAAGACTACTGAATTCCCACTTGCAGTATATGGTGTGAGCTAGAACTTAGAGCAAATGAGCTGACTTTGCCACAAAGCAAACCAATACAAAAACCAATCACCCGTAAAATGATAAGAACAAGCATACAGCATTATCCCTAACCGCATCAATTCTAAAGATAGTGTTACGGTGTGAGCAGGGTTGCAATTTCATTACATTTTCAGGTTTGCCAGCTTGTTTGTGGCCGTTATAAACTAATAAGGTGGCAAACCAAGCACAACTTGTTCAATTGCAGATGGTCACAAAAGCTACATGAACCGAATTGCGCATTTCGATTAATAAGTTACTTATCGACATTGATAACCCATAAACCTATACTCAAGAGAGTTACAAAGACTAAACGAGTCCCATGGATTAGCGAACTTACTTTTTACCACGTAAAAAACATTTTATTTTATACCTAACTACATCACATTGGCTTCTTTTCTAAATCCAATCATAACAACAAAATCGTCTTTCCATTTCACTCAAAAGCAAGAAACAGAAAAGCAAATAAAGAAACACAGTAACAATGCAATTTAACCTAGAAAACATGTTTCAGTCCAATACTGAACATTACAAACCAATCAAGAGTTTACACGATTGAACCCAAACTATTTGCGATAAAGGAGTTGTTCTAGTCAGAACCAATTTTCATCTGAACCCATGAAACCTGAATCCACTTCACTTTATCCGTAATATCATAATATTGTCCCAGATATTGACGGTTCAAATATTGCCCTAATCCCGACCCAAAAAAGTCTCATCATTTACATACCACATGCAGGAACATTACCATTAATTCAAAATGGAGTCAGAAAAGCTTAAAATTGTCAGCTACCATTTAGGATAGGTTTCATTTTGTTAGAAGTCTTTCTTTAAAATATTTTTATAAAAAAAAAAAAAATTAAAAAAGGGTTAGTTTTCAGTTTTTGGCCTTGGGAAATTTGTAATTCTAATGGGTTAGGAATAATCAGAAGCCCCTGAATTTAGAGGTTTGCAACTTTGTTAGTTAAGTTTTGGTTATTGCATTTTTAAGCTTTCAAAGACTCTCTTTGAAATCACTACAGCTAGGTTGGCCTCTCTCGTTAATTTTCAATTTGATCAGGCTATTAGCATATCATAATGTCGAAATTCTAGGAGACTGAAAAGCTAACCAATTCCCAGCTCCAAGTCCAAACTACGACTAAATTTGACTACATTCTTTCCTAAAGTAATTTAGGAATTTAGAACGATTAAAATCCAATTTGATTGGGGTTATTTTGTAAGGAAACTAAACTGCAAAGGACTATTTGCCAACAACATCAGCCCATCCTTTCAGCTTAAAATGTTAGAATTCCAAATCTACCCTTTAATTATTTCACGCCTTTCATTGAAAATTGTAGCAACAAGATAATCCAAACAAAACCTTAAAATGAAGACGTGTAACAATACAGTCCATAAAGAAAAGTTAGGTGAGTTCTTTTACTACGTAAAATTATTGCACCGTTTCCAGCATATTCGAATGTACAACTTTTACAGGCTCAAGTACAGACCACATTGATTAAATTCAACAACTATGAAACGCAGCTTTCAAACAGAATTTCCAAAACAATGATGTTTGCATTTCTTCTTCCATTCTTAGTTATAATTCATCGCAATTCAAGATCATCATTCACCGTCACTAGAAAAAAAAAATGCTGCAGCAAAATGCGATAAGAACAGAAAAAAATTAAACATAAAAATAAAAAACGGATAACTTACAAAGAAGAGCAACGGAATGACTTGCTCCGGCGGAGATGGCGAGAACGCGAGGAGCCGGCGAAGTAACAGCGCCTCCTTCTAATTGAGCTGCACCGCCAGAAGCAGCATCAAGCTTTGCTCCTCCGCCGCCGATTCCGCCGCCTTTATCCGCCATTTTCTTACGTTTGGATTCCGTGTTTTTTACGAGTTTTGGACGGATTTTGGCGTTTGCGCGGTGGAAAGTGAAGTCAGAATTATAAGAGAGAGGAGATGGAAAAAAGTAAGATAGAGAGAGTGTGAGGGGAGAGATATTTCTTCTGGGATTTTCGGGAAAAAAAAAAAAAAAAGAGGCTTCAAATATCTCATGATAAAATAATCTTATTTTTATTATTTTTTTCAAACTGAAACCAACAAAAAGTCAAAAATAGTAAATAGGTCATCATCAAAGCCACAGTACAAATTGGGCCGTTGTACCATCAGATTTTAAGAATCCATCATTGTTGACGGTTTGTGTCACTAGTATTTCTCTGGTTTTGTAAGTCACCCTGGCTACCTCAAATAATCATTTGTATTGTGATTTGTGAATTGTATAATAACTGTCTTATTTTACAATTTAATCATGATGTGAATTATTTTCTGAAATGAAAGATAGTATGTTCTTTTTATAACTTCAATAGCAAAAGTAATTACTGCATAATGACTACACTAGTTGGTTAGATTGGATAGCATTAGAATGGAAAGTATTTTATCCGATGCTACACATAAACAAAATAACTCGAATTATTAAGTTTGAAGTAAAGACGAATATATTCTCACACCTGCATGGTTCACAACTTCTTACCACAGTTTTATACGAAACTATTAATTTAAGACTGCAAGAATTTTAAAGGCGGATTATTATTAACTAAAATGACAATTGATAATCTTTATTAGAAACTAGTAGGTACAACTCTCATTGACATTAGCTTCCATAAAAATATTAATCCAAAACTTAGAATACCATAGTGTCGACTAATTAGCAAATGAAGGAAGTTCCTTCTAAATTATTTTACTAAAAAAACAAAAAGGAAGTAATTATTTCACACATAAACAGGTAGTGAAACTAACGAGAGATGATGGAAAATGAAATCTTGTTGGTTCTGTTTGAAGTCTCAAAGAGATCAAATGTCAGTGAATAAAGAATATATTTCGTCATCAAACAAATTATACAAGAGATCATCCCTTGAGAGTAAGGACTAAAGAGTATAAAATGTTCGATGGGCATGACAAATGAAGAACTAGCAACTCCATCAACGTATCATTGCAGAGATTGAGTCTAATCATGAGACTAATCATAATTTTATTTTCATTGAAACATTTTTGTTGTGGGTTTTGTCTCTTTATTTAATTGTAATTTTGTTTTCTTAAATAATTAGTATTGTATTCCATTTTTATGTTCATCCTAAGAAATAAAAAACAACAAAAGGTATTCTTTTGTCTAATTTTGATTTTTTGGAGAAATAAGAGAGCTGAATTGCTAGGAACAAGCCGTAAGTATCTTGTTGTTTCAAAGGAAACTCGGGGTGAAGTGAAATCTTCTTATATCAATCTTTTATCATTTGAAATATATATATATATATATATATATAATATAGAAAAATTCTATGGTCGAGTCACGAGTTTTTGACTGAATCATCTAGTTAAAATCGATCCAATGAAAAATAGATCACACTATATGCAATCATGGGGTGTGCAACACCATAATAAAACTTTGTATATTAATTGTTCATCTTTTTTAAAGAGGACTAATAAGAATAATATTAATCAATGGCCAAACACGTATTCTAAGCTGTTCATTCATATTCATCATGATTGATGTGGGATAATGCTTTGTTAATGTACTCTATAGCATCTCAGAAGATGAGTATCCTGCAGAATAAGACAATTCCATGAATCCATTATTAACTCCAAAAAATCGATCCATTATCTCCCGAATTACCTCGGAAGACATGAGTGAAACTATTAGCCCAAATTCTTTTGAAAATGAACAAGATTTATTATCGTATTGATGTCCACAAAAAATATTGATGAACTTGTGTTACCGAAACCATTCAATAGAATATGTAATTTCTCTCGACCAAGTAAATATTATTGTATAATCCGGCAGCTCCATCTTTTTTTTGCCGTAATACACAAGAGTCGGACATCAACCCGACTCCGACCTTCAGGATTTGGATGAGCAGAGGATTTAAAATCAATTTTCAGACTCCAAGATTCCAAATCTACTTGATCAAAGACACAATCAGACAAAAAAATATACCCCACAGTTTTACTTTCTATTCTTCAAAGTCGAAACTAATTACCTAAGCCCATAAATCCTCTTGGGTAGTTTTTTGTTGTTTGTTTCTAATCCCTTGTTGCTAGGGTAGTGTTTATATATAGGGGAAAAGTCAATCAAAAGATTTTTGGATTAATGAGTTTCCAAATCCAAGTCAAAATTGGTGTTTCTGAGACTTTCCAACATGATAGCGAAGGGGCATTAATTTTTGTTACAACCAAAACAATTGCGTATATCTCTGTCTGGATGTAGGAATTTTGTTCAACGAAGAGGACATGACGGAATAAAAATTATGATGTTTATGAAATAATTTTTTAGGCATAGGCAATGCAACGAGATTCATAATTTACTATTAGCAATATAATGTCAGGTGTGATGTGGTGCATTTTAATTATAGAACATCTCATTTTAATCTATTAGTTGTTATTAAATTTAATGAACCTATGGTTAGTAATGACAACTGGACCATTCAGTCGACTCGACTGTAGTCGCTCCCATATATATATATATATATATATATATATATATTATGATATATGAAGATATGAGAGCGGTTAGAGTTCTGGTACGTGACGGTACCGTTTTAGGATAATAATCTTAAGATTAATTAGACTTATTAAGAGTCGTAGGATTAAAATGAGGGTACACCATAAGTAAATATACCTAAACCCACCTGATTAAACAGAAAAAATTAGAGAAAATTGCCAATTTTGCCCAAAACTTCAAGTGTCTGGCCAATTTGACCCAAAAAATTTTTGGAAAGCTAAATTCATCATCTAAGTTTCAATTCCTGACAAATTTAATCCAATTGACAAAAATTCCATTAGATGTAACACCTCCGCTGACATTTCGTTACTTTGTACAATTTTTTATTAAAAAAAGATTTTATGGACCCCATAATTTTGACATTTTAACACCAATGATTTTAGTTGTACGCATAAAATTTTTTCTTCCTTTTTCATTTATACTCTCTATATTAGATTATGTATTGCATTTATGTATCGTAAATTCTTTTTATATTGGATTAATGTACATCATTTTTTTTAACTGTATTCCAAAAGGTTAACCTAATTTTATTTTTGACTTAGAATTAATGTAAAAAATTAGACATCATATGTAATCTATGATGCAATTTATTTTAAGTGACTATAAAAAATTTAATGCCATTAGAAATTACTGTACTCAACAAAAATGACTCAGAAAATACTGTCATTAACTCCAAAGATTCTATTAATTTAGAGAGATTCTGTTATACAATCAATTTTGTTTGTTCATTATCTTCATTATTTTGTTATTTTCTTTAAAAAAAAACCGTAAAATAAAAGTGGGTATCTACCATCACCTCCAGCTGTCAACACTACTATCATCACCTTTGGCTGCCTTAACGGCCATATAGGTGCATTAATTTTCCTTCTTCTGTATAGTGCATTGATTTAAACGATAGCTCTTGAATTTAAAGGTAGTAGTTAACTGAGTTTAGTGGACGAAAGATGTCTTTATAAGTGAAATGAGACTACCCACTAAATCAGGAAAAAATGTCGTTCCTACCCAAAGCTTTGCCCTCGTCGTCAATCATACCCAATTGATTTTTGGTTAGCCAACTTTACTCTAATGTTTGAAATTTTTGCCAACTTCGTCCAATCGACCCATTTTCCGTCCTAATTAACAGATCTCCGTTATTTTTTTAATAAAGTAATAAATTTAAATACAAAAACACCCCAGTAGTTTTTAAAAATTTTAAAAATAACCCCTAAAATATATAAAAATAACAAAATATAGTTCCCTTTATTTATTTTATTTTATTTTTCTCTATTTTTTTTTTCATTTCTCTCAACTACTTTTAATGACCATAAAAGTATATTATATGAGTTTTAAAAAATATTTATTTATTTTCAAACTCTACCGTAAAAATTAATCTTTGTATAGTTGTAACACATGATTGTATTTATATAAGCATGTTAATCTTTTTAATAATATAGTTTAGCAATAAAGATACTATGTTTTAGATTTATTTTATTCTTCCTAACATAAAGATTAAAAACATTTAATTGAAACTAATATTCCACATAAAAATAAAATATTAGCTCAAATAAAAAATAATATATTAGTTTAGTGTATTACAATTTAACTAGAGAGACTACATGGCATAATATAATTTATAAAAAAAAGTTTATACTTATCAATGCGAGGATTTAACATTTTTTAATAATTATTTGAGATATTAATATATATTTTACTATAGAGGAAGTCTTACTAGCTTATTCTATATGATTTTAGTTTAAAATAAATAAATGGAGGTAACAATATAGTAATAAGTTGTTGTGATAGAAAATAATTTTTAGATTCAAGAAGGAAAACTTATGTTTGGAGGATTTTTTTTAAGGTTTTAATTATTTTATATTTTAGTTATTTTTTATGAATTATATTAATGCAAGTTATAGTCTCTTGAGTTAAATTGTAATACACTAAAATATATTAATATTTTCTTATTTGAGCTAATATTTTATTTTTATGTGGAATATTAGTTTCATTTAAATGTTTTTAATCTTTATGTTTGGAAGAATAAAATAAATCAAAACATAGTGTCTTAATTATTTTATATTTTAGTTATTTTTTTATGAATTATATTAATGCAAGTTATAGTCTCTAGAATGAAATTGTAATACAGTAAAATAGATTAATTTTTTTATTTGAGCTAATATTTTATTTTTATGTGGAGTATTAGTTTCATTTAAATGTTTTTAATCTTTATGTTAGGAAGAATTAAATAAATCAAAAAAATAGTGTCTGTATTGCTAAACTATATTATTAAAAAAATTAACATACTTATATAAATACAATCACGGGTTACAACTATACAAAGATTAATTTTTACAGTAGAGCTTGAAAATAACTAAATATTTTTTTAAAACTCATATAATAGACTTTTGTGGTCATTAAAAAGTAGTAAAGAGAAATTGAACAAAATAGAGAAAAATAAAATAAAAAAGTAAAAAGGGACTGTTTTGTTATTT